AAATATAATTATGTATTAGGCAAATATTTATACCTTTTATATATAAGCTTACATTACATAACATATACCTTTTTTGCATAACCATAACACATATGTTGTGAAACGTGTCCACAAATCTAACGCAAGTTTTCAATGCATTTCTCGATCAGTGATTATATCGTATCATCAAATCCTACCACCGATTAAGCCATCAGTGGATCAAATCGGACATCAATTGGATCATTAGATCACCAAAACTTATATCAATCGCCTTATTATCACCGCAACAGTTGTACAGCACGTGCGACATAGCCATCGATGGCCACCACAACCACTGCCAATGAGAACAATATGAACGGCACAAACATCACCACCGGATCCGCTGACGAGAAGCTGTCACTCATTAAACGCAATCTTCAGGAAGTATTGGGCGAAGAGCGTCTCAAAGAGATCGTCGCCAACAGCAGCGCCAGCGGTGGACACGACCTCCGGATCTACTGGGGAACGGCTACCACGGGTCGACCACACGTGGCGTACTTCGTGCCCATGTGTAAGATCGCCGACTTCTTGAAGGCTGGCTGTGAGGTGTCGGTGCTGTTCGCCAACCTTCACGCATATCTCGATAACATGAAGAGCTCGTGGGATCTGCTGGAGTGGCGGACACAGTATTACGAGACTGTCATCAAAGCCATGTTGACGTCGATAGGCGTTCCCATCCAGAAGTTGAAGTTCGTTAAGGGAACCGACTATCAGTTGAGCCGTGAGTTCACGTTAGATGTCTATCGGTTGTCATCGATGGTCACCGAACACGACGCTAAGAAAGCCGGCGCTGAAGTGGTGAAGCAAGTGGACCACCCGTTGATCAGTTCCCTGCTATACCCGGGACTACAGGCGCTCGACGAGGAGTACCTGAAAGTTGACGCCCAGTTCGGTGGTGTCGATCAGCGGAAGATCTTCACGTTTGCCGAAAAATATTTACCACAATTGGGTTACACTAAGCGAATACATCTCATGAATCCTATGGGTATGCGCCGGACCTGTCTGTCCCTTATTAGCAGTTCATTAATGCCATGAATACCTTTCCCTACCCTCCCATCGCCACAGTTCCGGGTCTTTCTGGCGGCAAAATGTCGTCATCGGAAGAGGACTCGAAGATCGATCTGTTGGACACTCCGGAGGCGGTCAAGAAGAAGCTGAAGCGTGCGTTCTGTGAGCCGGGAAAGGTTGAGGACAACGGTGTCCTGGCGTTTGTCAAACACGTGGTCTTCTCGCTGTTCGACACGTTT